ATGTGCTCTCCCTTGTTCAGGCCAACTGTTCCTGTGGGTTTCTCCAACCTGGTACAGACCCCTTTGCTCTTCATTCCTCCCTCTCTTCAGCTAAATTCCAGATTTCAGCTCAGTGTATATCTGTGGATGTCTGTCTCTGCTTCCATCAGCCACTGGATGAGGGCTCTAGGATGGCATAAAGAGAAGTCATCAATCTCATTTTAGGGGAAGGGCTTTTAGGTTATCCTCTCCACCATTGCCTGGATTGTCAGATCGTGTCATCCTTGTAGGTCTCTGGAGATCTCCATAGTTTCAGATCTCTTCTCAGACCTATAGTGGCTCCCTCTAATATGGTATCTCTCATCCTACTCTCTCTCCTCTATTCTTCCCCCAACTGAATATTTCTGCTCCTCCATTTCCTCTCCTCTACTCCTCTTCTCATGCTCTTATTGTGGCAGCTCCCTCTCCCCCACCCCCATGCTCCCAATTAGCTCACACTGGGCATTCTTAGAGGAAGCAACCCATCACAAAGACACGATGATGCATGTGTGGCACACGTGTGTATCAGGAGAGTGTGTGAAGGAGCCTGAGATATGGTAGGTACTTGGTGAATGTGGTGATCATGAAGGCTTACCTCTCAGCCATTACAGGGATTTAGTTCAGTGACTCTGGTCATTGGCCACTGCTGTATAATGAGGGGCCACTGTGAAGAGTGGGCCAATGACCACACGCTTCCCGATACACTAATACAGACTTATACCTGAAGAGACAAAGCTTCTGATAACATCAGTAAAGTGCCAAAGCCACACAAGTTACAAATGGTAGAGCTGGGAAAACTTATTTTTGATGCCAGGGACAGTTACTACCTTCTGCTTTCCAAAAAACCAGAGTTCAAAGGCTTTGCCCTCTGGGCATTGCCCATATTAATGAAGAAATTTTTTAAAAAAAAATCAGTTAAGGAAAGGCTTAATAAAAAAAAATAACAAAAACCCTTCATGTGTAGGATGTGTGTGTCCATAACTGTGACACAGGGTAGTGTGTGCCATGGTGAGTGTGGGGCAGTCAGAGGACAACCTTGTGTTAGTTCTTGCCTTTCACCTCATTTGAGATGGTCTTTTTTGCCCTTTGTGGCTATGTACTCCAGGCTAACTGGTCTGTGGGCTTCTGGGGACTCACCTGTCTCCACCTCCCATCTCACCCTTGGAGATTACTGAGGCAACTTACTACATCTAACTTTATTTACATGGGTCACGGGGATCCAAACCCAGGTCCTCATACTTGCACAGCACTTTACCCACTGAGCCATCTCTCCAGCCTATCATAGCTCCTTTAGAAAAATATTTGTGTTTCCTTTTTTTCCTCAGTAAACTTTCAGTCTGTTCCATGTCCTCGCTCTTAAATCTTCACTCAATGAAATGTGAGTGGCCATTTGTTCTCTGGTTGTCTCCTGCAGAGTTGAGGAACGGATTGGAGTTTGCGGAATGACATTTCTTGACAATATGAGAAATATAACCATTTGTTCTCTTTTGGGAGGATGCCTTGTTGCTGATTTGGGGGCTTGTACATATAGTTTCCAGATGCATAGCAGAACACCTTAAATTCCAAATAAGTTCCTATTATCATTTTGGAGATTGACCCAAACTTATTTATTTTATTCATCTGAAGATTTATTTATTTGTGTGTGTGAGACAGACAATGTGTGTCTATGCATGTACAAAAGAGTAGCAGGGGATTCTCAGGTATCATTCTGTATGTTCCTTTGAGGCAGGATCCCTCCCTGAACATGAGGCTAGGTTCTCAGCTAGGCTGGAAGCCAGCAAGCCCCAGTGATACTCCTGTCTCTGCCCCCACTGGAGGTAGGTTTACAGGCATATGTAGAGATACCTGGCTCATTATATGGTTGCTGGGATCTGAACACTAGTTCCTGAAGTTGCAGCATATAAAGATCTTAACCAGTGAACCATCTGTCCAGCCCCTGATCCTAATTTTAAAAACTCCCTGAAGAACAGACTTATTACCAACGGCCACTGTGATAGAGGGAAGGTTAGATTCCACGATAAAAGTCATTATCAGGGAGGAAACCTTCAGGGGGTGGGAACTATTAACATAACATGTCAATCTGTCAGCTGGGCCATGTTACAGCACAACTCAGCCTGATTCTCAAGGTACCTGGTGAGTAATAGACACACACATCCCAGACTTTAGTCCTACCCATTTTCCAGCACAGCTCCACCCCCAGTGCCCTACTTCAGGAGTGTCTTTTGTTCTCTAAGCTCTTTAGGAGCCCCAGAAGTGCCTCATGCATCAGTCATCTTGGACTGGCCTGAGGATACAACCCTGTCCCTGATGTCTCCCTCCTCCCACCCTGAGAGGCCTCAAAGCCAGTTGCTTTCTTGAAGCTGTGACCAAGAGTCCCAGAAAAAGGCATTTCACAAGTGTGTGTGTGTGTGTGTGTGTGTGTGTGTGTGTGTGTGTGTTGCACGAGCACCGGGCCATGTTGGCCCCTGTCTATAATTACAATGCTCATGCTGGGCCAGTAGTGGTGCTGCACACCTTTAATCCCAGCACTCTGGAGGCAGAGGCAGTCGGATCTCTGTGAGTTTGAGGCCAGCCTGGTCTCCAGAGTGAGTGCCAGGACAGGCTCCAAAGCTACACAGAGAAACCCTGTTTCAAAACAAACAAAAAGAAAAAACCAATGCTCGGGTGGCAGGAGTTCAAGATCACCTGGACTGCGTGTGACTCTGTCTCAAAAAGGGGTAGGGCTGGGGAGACAGAGTAAAATGCTTACTATGTAAGCCTGAGTGTGACTCCCAGAGCCCATGTAAGAAAGCTGGGCATGGTAGCAAGCTCTTGTGTTCTCAGCACTGAGGAGGCAGAAACAGGTGAATCCCTGGGGCTCCCTGACTAGCCTTCCTTGCCTAGTTGATCTCTTGCTCAGGCCAGTGAGAGATCCTGTCTTGAAAACAAAGGTGGAGCCAGGCAATGGTGGCACTCGCCTTTAATCCCAGCACTCAGAGGCAGGCAGATCTTTGTGAATTCGAGACCAGCCTGGTCTACAGAGCGAGTTCCAGGACAGCCTCCAAAGCCACAGAGAAACCCTGCCTTGAAAAACAAAAGAAAGAAAGAAAGAAAACAAAGGTGGATGGTGCCTGAGGAAATAAGCCCCTGCCCCAGTCCACATGCACAAGTGCACACACATGAACACTCACACATATGCACACACAAAAAATGAATACAAATAATTTTTGTTGTGGGAGTAAACACAAAGTCTGGTTCTTAGAGGTTTTAGGTGTGTGCCTGCCAGCTCCCAGGGTTTTACCTGTCTCTACCTCCTTGGCACAGGGTGAGCACCCCTGTGCCTTTTATGTACAAACAGTGAGTATGGACTTGGGTCCTCACGCTTGTGTGGCAAACACTATTGACTGAGCCATTCCCTCAACCCAAGCTTTGAGAGTATTTGTGAACTAAAGAGGACACAAAGATCCAAGGAGACAATGATCTAGAACTTGTCTGACCAGCTGCTACCTTGTGTATTTATCTGTCACCTGGAGACCCCTGACTACTTCCCTTTTGCAGACAAGCAAATTGAGTCTCAGAGGTGTTACATACTTTTCCCCCCAAGATCACCCAGCACGTTAGGGAAGCTAAGTGTTGTGAGGGCTCACCAGAGCCTTAGTTTGTCCTTGTTCTCTCCTTAGTCAAGCTTTCTTTCTCCTCCGAAGGTACTTCAGGTCATGCCTTCTGACAGCTTCTTCTTCTCCATTGTCCGAGACCCAGCGGCTCTAGCCCGCTCTGCCTTCTCCTATTATAAGTCAACCTCATCGGCCTTCCGAAAGGCACCGTCTTTGGCTGCCTTCCTGTCCAATCCTCAAGCCTTCTACAGACCCGGGGGCCGTGGCAACCACTATGCCCGAAACTTACTTTGGTTCGACTTTGGTTTGCCCTTCCCCCCAGAGAGAAGAGTGAGTTCTCATCTACCCAGAGACCCCAACCCCCTCCAGTTACATATTGTGCCTTCTGGTGCTGGCCTTGGAACTCTTTTCCAGCCTATGAGCACAGTTGCTAATAATAATGCACAGCCAGCCAGCTTTGCCTCTTCAGATTTTGGGCCCTCATCTTTTATCCAGTGGGGTCTGGCCTGGTTGGATTCTGTCTTTGACTTGGTCATGGTGGCTGAATACTTTGACGAGTCATTGGTTCTGTTGGCAGATGCCCTTTGCTGGGGTCTGGATGATGTGGTGGGCTTTATGCACAATGCTCAGGCCAGAAGTGAGCAGAGGCTCAGTGCTGCCAATAAGAGTGTGGCGAATGAAGAGCAGCAGCTGACTGCACGGGCCCGAGCTTGGAATAATCTAGACTGGGCTCTTTATACTCACTTCAACCGTAGTCTGTGGGCACGGATAGAACAATATGGCCATAGTCGGCTGCAACGTGCTGTGGCTGAGATCCGGGCTCGAAGAGAAGCTCTGGCTAAACGTTGCCTGATGGGAGGTGAGGCTTTAGACCCCAAATACATCACGGATGTAAGGCTTCGTCCTTTCCAGTTCGGTTCAGCTAAGGTTTTGGGCTATGTACTCCAGAGTGGACTGAGCCAGAAAGAACAAGAGGAATGTGAGCGCTTGGCTACCCCTGAGCTACAGTACAAAGACAAACTTGATGCCAAGCAGTTTTCCCCTACAGTCTCCCTGCCTCTCAAGACATCAAGGACACTGCCCCCATAGGTATTGGATTACAAATTAGGACACAGGATGAGTCTTCCTTCCCTCTGAAGGAATAGGAAGTTTGCTCTAAGGTGAGGCTGGGGTTGTCTGGCCTTTCTGAAGGAATTCCAGCAACATTTGCCCCCCACCCCCTCCCTTTTGTCTCTTCAAGTCTCAAAACAAGGTTCATGTAGCAGTTCCCCCAAAGCCCCCTGGAGGGGTAAAAGAGTGAGCCAGAGAAAGTTTAGGATATGATATACCCATTTCTCTATGAAATATTTGTTGTGGAGCTGTGTTGATTTCACTGTGAAAATATTTGTTGGATGAATAAATGCTATGAAACGTTTACTTATTTTTTTTTTAAAAAAATGATTAGATTTATTTTCTTCTGAACCAGTGCTTTGCTTGCATGGGGAAATGTGCACCACACACATGCCTGAACTGGAGTCACCAATGACTGTGAGCCACATGTGGATGATGGGACCCAAATCCTGGTCCTCTGCTCTTAACCTCAGAGCCATCTCTCCAGCTCCCGGTGGTTTGTTTCATGTAGGGCTTTCAACGGGGAAGGGATGTAGGATCTTTTGTTGGATAGAAATTGGACTGTAAAGGGTTCTTTCTTTTCTTTTAATATTTCTTCAAGGCAGGGAATACAGCCCATGATAAAACGACTGACTAGCATAAGGCTAAGGTTCAGGTATGCCAGGAACACATACACACCACCACCACCAAAAACAACCACCACAACAGAATACAAGAAAAAGACGGGGGGGGGGGGCAGGCCGGCTGGCAGGGGGGCTGCCCAGGCGGGGGCGGG